CTCACAGCAAAATGTTTCTCTCTTGGCATTTTCCTCCATTAGATGCTACATGAAGGAGTACACTTGACCTCACATGTGTTTTTAGTTTGGCTATTTCCTCTCATCCCTCCCTCACCTCCCTCCCTCCCCCCATCATCCCTGGGGTGAAGTCTGGGCACCTCCACTTAAAATGACCCTCCACCTTCCAGCCCCCCTCCGCAATGCACCTTCACTCTCTCCAAATGGTAAGTGTGTGTGTGTGTGTGTGTGTGTGTGTGTGCCTGTGTGCGTATATGAGCATTTGTCATCAAAGTCAAGTGCATTATTGTGTGCAGAATTAACGATAATCCTCCTTAGTGCTCCTCTGCTACAAAAGACCCTCGAGCCCCTTTTTACCTTTTACCTCCAGAATAACACACATCTCACTGAGCCCCGTCTTACCAAAAGAACTGCCCAAAAAAACAGACAGCTCAGACAGAGCGGGGGTTCAGTTGGAACCAGCTGGACAGAGCAGAAGTAATGAAAGACTTCTTCAAATCAGCAGAAGCTTGGTGTTTCCTTGCACTGCTCCACACACACACAAACACACACTCACTCCCGCTCTGATTAAACTCTCCTTTTCTCCTTTTACTGCCCTTCCTTCGTATTTACATTAACATTGTATTCCTTCAATTTTGCACCTTATCACTCTAATGAAAATGTATGTTTATTTGTATAGCACATTTCAACAACAAGCCAATTCAGAGTGCTTTACATAAAACATAAAAGCAACATAGGGAAACTGAAAAAAACACATTAAAATATAATGTAAAAATTTAGATTTTTGAAAGAGTTAAATAGGATATAAAAAACAGGGTAAAACAGGACAGTAAAAGTCACAGTGCAGTGTACAATATTGATCTACAGCCTTACATTTGATTTAATGAAAGGCATTGGTAAGAAAAGAAAAGTCTTGATTTAAAAGAACTGACAGTAGGATAGGATATATCTGTTGGGCAGGCCAGAACGTATTTGCAGACTTTTATAAAGGAAGAAAGTCTCTATCAAAAATAAATCTTACCATCTTATACAGTGAACCATCTCTTACTTAAAGTCAGGAATTCTAAACAGATGTCTTTATGCATTCGCTTGCACAACAGCGAGTGTAACCGCGTGTTTGTACATGGGAAGCCAGAGTGAGGGTTCACACTGGATTCTGTAGGGACAAGAATACTGCACCTCTGTAGTAATCACAATGGCCATGCTCCAAGCATAATACTGATCCCCAGGACTCTAACCTCACACACTCGTGCGTATAAACTGTACATGCGCAAACTCTCCAGCGCACACGCTCAAAAAACACCTAGGTAATCATTTCCATATTTATTTTCTTTGCGTTCATATTACTCTCCACTTCATACATTTTCATAAAAACAACACCAAGCCTCTCAAAGTGGGTTAAATAAGTGATTTTTGGAAATACCATTTGAAGGGCCTCCTTCAAAGTGTACCATGTCAGAGATTATACGGGAGGTTATTGCCAAAATCTCAGTGAGACCCAGGACTTTCCCAATCTGGTGTGACTGTGGTTTCACCTCTGTAAAAGGCTCATTTTGATTCATTCGATGTACAAATGATTAAACACATTGGATCCAAGTATTAGCACAAATAGCATACTCAATCCATCAACTGTCACAAATCACCACCCTAAAAACAGCCATGCCCCAGCTTAATGCCTAGCTTTTTAGACATAATGCCTTGTTGGAGTGTTTGTCTAATTTATCTTGCCACATCTAATTAAACATGATCCCTACTGGTTTGTGCACAGCACAGAGTAGTTAAATAAAATCCATCAGAGACTCGGGGGGGGGGGGATTCAACACCACATACATAAGTGTGCAAAAGACTGAGGTTTCTACCCCTCTACTTACAATGTTGTAAACTCAGCAAGACATCTCAAATTTAGGACGAAATGGAACGAGAAAAAACAACGGGAAACATGCGTCACTGTCAGTTCGAGGGCACACAGGACGAGGAGAGCAAGTTCATACCGAGTCAGCATGCCGAGCCGCTTTAATTGTTAGTGTGAACAATAAAACCCTACTAATACCAGCTAAATCCTGTTTATATTAAATATGTGAGGTGTTTCTTTTATGGCATATGGAGAGCTGGTTCTAATCATCTTTTTTAAATACCCTATGGGCTCATGGAATGCACCTGTAAATTTAAATGACTGAAAACCTCTCAGCAAGCATCGTCCACACTGCCCTCTTCAGGGAACAGAGAGAAACTGAAGGGATGATGCGTGACGGATTCAGAGTTGGGGGAAAAAGTGGAAAGAAGGAATGAGTTAGACCAAATAAGATGGATGTCCTCATCTTTCCAATGGTTATCTTAATTCTTGGGTGTAATGAGTTCTTTTGATTTCTTCATGCCGGCTATTTCTAGCTGTTGTGTTTGGACTTGTTGAGGCAGTGAAACTGAAGGAAATTAAAATGTGTAGCTACTGTGCCACTCTTCTGAACTACATAATAAGATCCAGGTTTTCTCTTATAGAGTCATGCTCAGGGGTACACGTATGCACAAACACACAAAAACACACACACACAGACACACACACACATACACCTCTGAGTGGCCCTAACATCTGTCAGGACTGTGTGGTGTTATAGTAATGAGTATGAGTAATGAGATATGTTGGTTGCTGAGGTGTTAAAGGTTCTTCTGGGATGCTGCAGAGGCAGCAGAGGGACCACCACCTCGGTGCTAAGCTGCCGCTCATTTCACGATCACTAAATACATATGTGTCACACTAGAGGTAGACTGCAGTGTCACACTACTCGAACACATGTGCATTCAAACACACACTCACATGCACATACTTAGGCCTACATGAGAACAAAGTACGCACACACACACAGCATTGTGGTGACCCTGTACGTATAATCGTCTCTGTCCCCAGGGCACATTGGCCTGTATGTTGTTGGTCACGCTCCGGCCCAGACCGCTGTCTTTCATCACCATCTCCACGGCAACAATGCTCGAAGTCACCGTGACAACAAATTCCACCTGGGCATGTGACACTTGCTGCCTCCTCATTCAATCACATCACCCTCTGCTCCACACCCCTCCAGAGGTCTTTATAACTCTATTTCACATGTTCTCTGTTCGGCCTCCCTGTCTCTGTCCTTCGCTCAATCAATGACACACTCTCTGTGAACCCATTTTCTGTTGGTGGTTCTCATACCTTTCTGATTTTCTGGATTACTGAATGCGAAGGCAGATTAACCGGCCAGGGAGCCCTGGCTCAAAAATGAGCTTGGAGGAGGGGGGGGAGGGTGCTGATGAAACCATGTTCTGCCCACTCCCTGTGCATTAGTGCAGACGGGAGACTACACATGGCATCCTAATTATATTTTGCCTAGAGCCCCAGAGATCAGCCAGTAAACTGGCCCCACCTTTCCTGTGTGTCAATTTGTGTAATTTAATTAAACACAACTGTATTTGGTAATGTGCCATTTAAACACACTGTCAACTGAAGTAAACGAATAATAAAATTTTTTTTTTTACAAAGCTATATTTTGGCCCCTTTTCAAGAAAGGACCCCGAGATGCACATTTAAGTCCATTATTCAAGATGATATAATGTGATTTGATGGTGCATTATCCCATCAAATCTGCATTTGATTACAAGTTTTACTGACAAATTGACACACAATGAAAGGTCTGGGGCTTTGGCTGCCTAGTTGACTGGATTAAAACAATGAAATTGTATTCATAAGGTTTTGGCGAATGGGGTTACTTCATGTATGACCCTGTGGTCATCATAACATCTTCATGCACATCGGGCCGAATTGATGCATTCTGAAAAACCTGAAGATCTCTGCTGCCCTCGTGTGGTTGTCCATAGGGGGGAGCTGACATTTAGACTGCCAGTATCTGTTGAGAAGTGATTTAGATTAAAGGTATGATTTAGGTATGATAATAGTCAAGTTTGGCTTTATTCTGCATCAGTGCCCCAGATGTTTTCCAACCCTGTTTATCGTTGGTGGGTTGCATTTATATATAAAAACTTTATTCTGTACAGCCCAGGGAAACATGAGGTCTGATTAAACTGATGCATTATTTAAAGTCTAATTTGTCCCTCCAGTGTAACATTTAACCCTTGCAGGGAGGCCAACCCATTACAAACAGGACTATAATACACAGTGGTGGAAGAAGTGGGCCCAACACATATTTTACTTTACAAAAAAGTAGCAATACAACTGTGTAAACATACTCTGTTACAAGAAAATACGTTTCGCCTCTCATCTTCTTTAAATCTTATTTTAAAGCCCCAAACTTTGTTTTGGATTTATGAAATGACTGCACCCACAAAGCAGAACTTGAGGGAGTTCACTGAACCATGATTCAGTCCATCTGTTTCACTTTAGCTGCATCAAAAACCATGAAGCCGATCATTTGCAACACAATGCCTATGGCTTTCATCAAGGTCATTATGAAATACACTTCCACAAATAATATTTCAACAAAAAAGGTATTCACACAGTCATCCAGTCACATATGCAGTGTAAATAATATAGCAGCCAATGGGGGTGTTTAGCCTACACATGAACATATATGGGCATTTATGAGCAGCTTATGTGTTCATGTGACCCTCTACCCACATGCCCACATGATATAGGCGACTGTATACCACTGCCGTTGCTGAGAAAGTGGGAACATAAAGACGTATTGTTTTACCACTCAACAAATGCAGCTCCCGTAAGTATCCAGCAGGAGCGGTAATCTAATTCATCAAGGTCAATGGCATTAGGCTATGAGAGCCTTATAAGACTGTTGCATCTATCTCCGTTTACCTATTGCGTACACCGAGAAAAATATTTTTGAAGGTTTTTATATTGTAATAAAGCTGTGAGACCGAATTCAGGGCACAAATGACACATTCCTCCAAAGCCTCTCTCTACCCTATCGGTATGCTGCAGTCTTGAACCGTCTGCATCTGCTTGTTGCCGTTCAGACAGAAAGACAGACAGACAGAAGAGAGTGAGAGAGAGAGAGAGAGTGAGACAGAGAGAGAGAGAGAGGGGGGAAGGACACAGAATGGCGACCGTGCAGTGCTCCAAATGCACGGCAGAAAAGAGAGGGTTTCGGCGGGAACTTGATTCTTGGCGACACAAATTGATTCACTGCGTTGGTATGATCCTGTACAGTTTTCATAATTTGTTTTTAAAAAAAGCTTGAAAGAGGTTTCGCCCGGCGGCTGAGGCATCGCTAACAGTACCCGAGCTGCAAGATGGCTAGCAAATGCTAGCTAAGTAATAGCTAAGCTAGTAGTCTGGCACCATAGGCGGTTAAGTTAAGCTGGCAGGCTAATATTTACCAGCTGGCTAGCCTCTCGAGTTGGCTCTTTTCTTTGTCCCTCTGGGCTAGCTTGCTACTCGCCGGTGCTAGCTCTTTCACGTATTTTTATATGACTGAGATGATATCGTACATGTATTAGTAAGGCGTACCGTATAATGTGTAAGTTAGCTAATTGATAGTTACAACGTTTGCTAGATTTGTTTATTGGCATATATGTTGGCTATGCTAATGCAATGCTAACAAGCTATGCTAACATGAACGGTGGTGTTATTTGGTGGAGGGGATTGTTGCTACTTTAGGGCAGCTAATGTCAGTGCAATATGAGAAAAGCATACACTGCAGTGGTCTTGGGTAACCGTTTCCCGTTACCGTTTGCTATTTTGAGCAGGGTTTTTTATGCTGCAGAAACCGGTAACCATAGGCTAGCTCACCCGGAGTTACCTGAATTTCTCGTTGTTTAACGTTATAACATTAACGTTTAATCACAGTGACAGCAACTTCAGGATACTCAAAACAAAGTAAAAATTGAAATGATGTTACGGTTATTCACATTTATTGTTTGCGTTGTTTACCATGTGATCTCTGAATCTCTATAAAGCTTTGTAGGTGTTTGGTGTCTGGTTTAGGTTGACAACTGGCTTTAGCTGAACGTGTGTGGTTGCCGTCAAACGGGTTTAGTTTAGTACAAGCATAAAAAACACCCAAATGTCAAGTACTTCAAGAATGCATACCTCAGTCAGTTCATTTCTGACTATTGTTTCTGTTTATTTTTCTCTCACAGGGTTTGAAAGCATTCTGGAGGGAATCTATGGCCCGATGCTGCTGAGCGACCTCCATTTATTTGATGGTGGGTTTTTGTGTTGGTACATTAAAAAAATTATCTTGATCACTTTGTGTAATCATAGGCATATTTTATATTTATTTTCAACAAAAAAACATGAAATGACCAAAACCAGCAGTACATCAGTCTTCTCAACCCTGTCTGTAGCACTAAGGCACATTTGTTCCTATGATTCAAATCTGTAAAATTGTGTCTCAAATATTTAGTTTTTTGTTGTTTAACGGCTAATAAAGTTTCCCCAGCAGTCGGCCCCTGATGTTTTTAGAAAATGTTACTCAGACCGGAGTAAAGGGTTGTAGTATTTTCAGCCATGGATTAATACACATTTGGTTCTCTAATGGGTATTTATCGCAGCAGTATAGTGTATTAGAATCAGCTTTATTTGCCAGTTATGTGTACACATATGAGGAATTTGACTCAGGATTGTACATTGCTCACGATGTGCTTACAATACAACAATAATAAAATCACACACAGGGAACACATAGAGAACACATATACACACTATTAGGGCTGCAGCTAAGGATGATTTTAGTATTAGAAGCTTCTATAGATTATTTCAATGATTCTATTTCACATGATTCAATGCGTTGTTTAAGAAGTACTTTTGCTTGGCGGCGGCGGCAGAGAGAGCTGGAGGTGAGTTAAAAGGTGCAGCTCCCCGACACCCAGTTAACTCATGACTGTGAGGTTACAACTCACGGCCCAAAAAGGAGAACAACAAACGCACGTGTGCACATTTTCAGCTGAGGACTGAAGCTTACTTTGGTTAGCCTTCAACTCAACAATCAATCATGATTTCAGTTAAATGCTAAAGTTGCTGTTACTGTTACCATGTCTGTCGTCCACTGTGAGAACACCGGGTGTGTTTTGATCAGGTGTCGTCGTGCTGTTTCGTTTTACGGTGGAGGGACGGTAACATTACAGAGTTGTTGTTTTCTTTAGCTTGAAATAATCCCATATTTTGGACACTTTATTTTTTGTCCCTCGCTGTTTTCTCTCTCTTCCTCCACTTTGCAAACAGCTCCGTTATAATCACGTCGTGTTCACAGCGTAAGCACGATGTGCGACAGTAATAAATGTCCGTGCGTAACAGTGTGCTGTATCGTTAAATGGATTAAACGAAGCATCGATGCAAAGAATTTGCGTTGATGCATTTTATTAATCGATGAATCATTTCAGCCCTACTATAAATAAACAATATAGACAGATTGAGACAATAGTGCAACAGATGCAGTGTAGCTCCGCTTTAATCTTGAGAAGCTGCAGTCTGTTCATTTAACTTACACTGTAAAACTTAGACTGTGAGATTGACAGTCGAGTCAGCCCTAGTATACAATATATACAATAGACAAAATGACAGTATAAACAGCTCTGAAATAGAAAATGATAGATAAATGTTTGTGTATTTGGGATTGCATCACTGTAAGCATGTATTCAATATTTGTGTGCTCATTCAGTTTCAGTTCAGTTTTCTGTTTCAGGCATATAATATTAACCCATGTTATTTTTTTAAGTTGGACTCACAACTACAAAATGTAAATATTTTTTCTTTATACAACTACTAATTTATAGTCATTTTAAAAGTGAGTCATTTCTTATTTATCAGACTCCACTATGTGCAGTGTGCTGCTAGTCACTCAGACATCCAAAGTTTGGAAGAAACATTTGCAGCATGAATAATATGCAGCTATATCATAAAATATACCAGGAGCACCACTAACCTTGCTTACTCATTTAAGAAGGCAGCATGTTATTGGACTTAAAGGAGCAGTCAACCTAAAGCAAGAAGAAACAACATTAGCACATTGTACCCTAATTGCTCCTGGTTTACACTGATAAATTAAACATTAAGGTATTTAATTTGCAAGGGCATACTCCTATATGGCATTGATTAAAATGCTGTGTGTAGATGGATGAAAGTGACCCTAGAAACAAGGCACAGTGAGTACATCACTGCCCATTGTATGGCAGTAAACGTTAAGTCAAAATAAGTACCCTAATTCAGATACAGATAATGCAAATTAATTGTAAGATAAAATTTGAAAATATTAAAATTTAATTACAGCTAAATGAAATCCTGTCAAGTCAGCTTTGAAATCTAGTGTATCATTGGAAATTGACCTGTTACATCTGACAGGGACCCTAAATATACACCTGCACTCTTTACCATTGATAGCAGTACTATCTTTATTAGCTTGCAGCATGCTGTCATAGACCACTAGCACTTGCAATAGCAGCCAAAGGACACAGCCAGCTTGACACTACTGTCAGTGCAGTCAGCAGTGCCATCTGGAGTTTGAATGAGGCTACACAGGAACATGATGTGTGTAAGAGACCTGGCAGCCATTATAAATTGCCCGGTGAAAATACTGTTTCAGTGACCTTGCTTTTGTATTTTGTGATTGTCCAATTTTAAGAGTACTGATCTAGTCATTTTTAATATCAGCAATTGTGTGGTTGTAACAGCATTTATTGACGGCAGCTAGATGTGGCCAGTATAAAATCTTTTATTGTATATATATTTTCATGCCCCTATCAAGATAGATATAGTTACATATAGATATACACTATATTGCCAGAAGTTTTAGGCCTCTCTGAATCAGTGAATTCAGGTGTTCAAACAATATAAACTCAGCCTCGAAGTGGTAGGCCACATAAAATCACAGAGCGAGGTCAGCTGAGACACACAGCGCGCAGATGTCACTAACTTTCTGCAGAGTCAATAGCTACAGACCGCCAAACGTCGTGTGGCCTTCAGATTAGCTCAAATAGTGTGTAGAGAGCTTCATGGAATGGGTTTCCATGGTGAGCAGCTGCATCCAAACCTTATATTATCAAGTGCAATGCAAAGCGTCGGATGCAGTGGTGTAAAGCATGCCACCACTGGACACTAGTTCCCTGGAGTGTTGAATAACGCTTCTGTCTGTCAATCCGATGGATGAGTCTGGGTTTGGCGGTTGCCAGAAGAACAGTACGTGCCTGACTGCATTGTGCCAAGTGTAAAGTTTGGTGAAGGGGGGATTATGGTGGAGGGTTGTCTTCCAGGGGTTGGGCTTGGCCTCTTAGTTCCAGTGAAAGGAACTGTTAATGTTTCAGCATACGAAGACATTTTGGACAATTTCATGCTCCCAACTTTGTGGAAACAGTTTGGGGATGGCCCCTTCCTGTTCCAACATGACTGCGCACAAGTGCACAAAGCAAAGTCCATAAAGACATTGATGAGTTTGACATTGACGGGTTTGGTGTGGAGAACTTGGACTGGGCTGCACAGAGTCCTGACCTCAACCCGACAGAACACCTTTGGGATAAATTAGAGTGGAGACAGCGAGCCTGGCCTTCTTGTCCAACATCTGTGTCTGACCTCACAAATGTGCTTCTAGAAGAATGGTCAAAAATTCCCATGAACACACTCCTAAATCTTGTGGAAAGCCTTCCTAGAAGAGTTGAAGCCGTTCTAGCGGCAATGGGTGGGCCAACTCCATATTAAACCCTACGGATTGAGAATGGGATTTCATTAACCTTCATATGCATGTTTAGGTAGGCGACACAAAACTTTTAGCAATATAGTGTATATACTGAAGCAAAGATCTCAGTACATATCTATCGTCTGGCTTTATATGTTGTCATATAATTAGGGTTGGACAATGACAAAATAGATCATGTCAGCAGCGTACAAAGTATTTTTTGGCTTAAATTGTGATTTATTGTGGTTGATAGTGATGTTTGGAACCCAATTCTGCCTTTCGTCAAACTTGTGACCATGTGGCTGTTTGGTCCTTGATGTACCCTAATTAACCCTTATTAATGCCTGGTAATGTGATATTGTGTTTTTCAGACTGTGAACCTGAAGAAGTGGATGACTGGTCTCCAGAAGCAAGCTGCTCTCAGTGTTCATTCTGCAGCCTTCCCCTAGACAAACTCAGTGTAAGAATTGTCCTAGTCAAAAAATGAACTAACTAACAACAAGAAGAAGTAACAGTTCTGATGTTCTGTCTGTGATGTCTGTGTATATATCTACTAAAGTTAGCATGCTAGCCAGCTAGCCCTGGCATATACTGTGTTGTAAAACCACTTGTGCCTCAACAGACAATAGATTGATAGTATAGTTCAGTATAAATATCACCTCCGTACTGTAGAGTTCTGCGGCCGTGTTACAGAAACTTTCTAACCGGCAGATCCTATCCGAACTGCTTGGTTACCATGATAATAAGGGCTAGGAACTGATTTAGGAAAAAGGCCATTACAGATTAAAAGTTCCTAAGTTAATATTCCTTTCCTAACTTTAGATTAGAAAAGTATATTACAGAAGCATCCTAACTTCGTAAAATCTTACATAAACTCTCCTAACTTTAGGATAACTGTTAAGCTGTCCTAACTTTTACTTTTCCACCAGGTAGTGTTTGCTAACTCGGTTAATCCACATGGTTAATCCACATGGTTACTCTTTTAACTGCTTTTACAAAACAAAACAAATGTCAACAGGTGTGTTCATGTGTTTGATGACACTCGTTAGTAGAAAGGCTGTAGCCGATGTAACGCTAGATAATGTCTCATTATTTAGCATAATGTAAAGGCTTGATGTAACGAAGGGATCCTAATGCAAGTCTTTAAATCGTTAAATTCAAGAAATACATGAAAAACATGGTGACGTTAGCCTGCAACCTTTATTATTAGCCCTTTTTTATTTATTTATTTTTTTAACTGTTATTAAGTTTCACGAGAAGATTAGCCTTTTGCCAGGGTCACTGAGGGAGCACAGGAGCAGCCACCAGCGGTTTCATCTGCACTTGGGACACAACAGTTGCCTGTGTCTTCATATCACTGTAAATTGACTTATTTTCTTTTTGACAGCATCAGCGCTCCGCTGGATGCCAGATATGTGGCGGGGACTGAGTCCTACCTAACAACAGTTATGACCTCATGTGTGATATGCTGCTCTAAATGTTTTTGGAGTAATTCAAAAGGTGTAGAGTAGTCTCAGTTCTTGTCATTGTACCTTTAAGTAATCTTTGGCTCTTGACAGTTGTAATAATGATATTGTTTGTTATAAGATTAGGGATGTCATGATACCAGGAATTTAGTTGTCGATACCATCGAAAGTTCACGATTCTCGGTACAGTATTTCATACCATGGTCGAAAACAAAACAATAAATCCCATTAACTTCAACATACACTCCTTTTAATAAAACATTTTTAACAAAAAACAACTAACAGCTGTAAAAGGTGTGAGTGGATGTCCAAGAAAAAATGAGAGGTGATTTGGTTTCAGTATATTCATGAGCAAGCTATGGAAATTGCAACCTTGCTGTGTGCTTGCTTAATTAATTAATTATCTTAATTTTTTACAAACTCACATATGTGAAATGTTTAAAGGTGGCCACTATTTATATTGGCGGTGGTTTGAGATTTCTATGTTGAAAAACAAAACCGATGATTGAAATGGATCGTATTGCACTTTTATGAAGGTCTCTAACTCCGCCTTAAGGCACAGGCGCACTGGACAGACATTTAGTTCTTTGCACTATCAACTGCATCGTCATCTTTGGTGATTTTGAATTGATCAAAACTGTGAACTTGGGTACCTGATGTACTGTAGAACAACGAGTACCGTCATGTTTTCAGAATTTTGGCAATTTTGGAATCAACACCCCTATAAGATATATAATTGTATAGGATAGGCTTTATAAATGGTAGTAAAACAGTCAGAGAGGTAATGTTTCTCTTTTTTTCTTATAGGATCAAGTACCTGCAGCCACATCGCCCCTCTCCTCCCCCTCTGATTACTCTCCCTGTCAAGCTCCAACCATCTCTGAGAGCAGCCAATCAGCGCACAGGTTCCTCCAAGCTGTGTTTCATAAGAAAGGTGAGTCATGGGTCTGTGGAGCGTGGCACAAACATGTCAACTTATGATACACTAAAGAGCCTGAGGCGCACAGCTATTAGCTTGTAGTCGCCTTGTAGTTATTTAGTTTTTATGTATGTAAACCGAAGAATTGGCAGTAAACGTAACAACACAGGACTGGTTTGATTTGATTTGTCTGCTTTGAAAAGCTACAGATTGCTTTGGTATTTTTGCTTTCCACCAGCACTTCTGTAGCTGTTTCAGATTGAGAGTGTATTCATGGCTAAATCAAATACAGTCCCAGTTTTGCTGATGTTGCAGCTGCCACACTAATACAATGGAGGTGAATTGAATTTTATTTGTTTAAATATTACATTTGATTATATTTTCACACTCAATGTCCTGTTCCTCCTGGTAATCCAAACCTTGATTTGTCAACGGTTTATCTAGAGGGTCTGTGGTTGGAGGACCTCTACATGTCATGAAGTCAGAGGGTTCCCCAGAATGTACTGTTTAGTTTGATATGAGTTACGAATGTGAAAGTAAATAAGTCAGTGACTTAGATCAGTTTAATGACTCATTTCCATATTCGCAACTCAGCCTTGCAGTTTACAAAGTAGTAATGTATCATGGTACATTTAATTTTTATTTCACAGTTAGAGCTGGGTGATACGGCCAAAAATGTTATCACGATAAAACATCTCATATCATTTGATATCAATAATTATCATTATAAATGTCAAATCATTATTTTTTCAAGTTTAAAGGCTGATATTTGGCTGACCAGATGGTTATTGTGGTTTTTAACTATTCTTTATGGTCAGAACATGACAAACAATTGCCAAACAGTGGGTCACAAATCTGATAAAAATTGATAAAATCTTTTATCAACAAATATGCATGAGTAAAATTAAGTAAATAAAATTACGTATCTTTTATCAGTCCCTTTTCCTCAACAAAATAAATATCTTTACCGAAAAATGAAGTGCTAATTTGTTCGTGATTCGAAATGAATTAAACAAACATTAAACATTTGTTATATTGTTATCAGTAATGAGATATATATATATATAGTGTGATTACATAATAAGTTCTGGAAAACTAATTGAGGAACTGTTATGGTATGAAAGGAACAGACAGGAATGCACACCATCACATCTATACAAAAATCATAGAACAATCTACCAGTGCCATAAACACATCTTGATTATTAAATTATACTGTTGCCCACTGTGGCCTAATACATGGTATGGCACAATCTCTACCAGTTTACAAATTTATATTGTCTGACCGTATAATTGCCACCCCTACCTGGCAATTTTAACAAAAAGATTTATTGCAAGATGTCAGAAAAACCTGTGTGGGAGGACCAAAAATACCCCAAAATTTCCTCTTTCCTTATCTTAGAAAAATGGAAATCATGCTTATTTTGTCACACGTCAAATTTTTCTAACTTTTATCTTCACCTGTGTCGTCTTCATTAGATGTGCCCCTGGGCTGTGATTCCAACATCCCACTGGTAGCCCAGGAACTGATGAAGATGATGATACATCAGTTTGCCATGGAGTACGCAACCAAGTGCCTACTCCACACCAGTACAAATGTTGTTATAACAAGGACCTCATCACCGTTGTCAGAAACGTCAGATGCCCCTCTGGACCTCACAGTGAGCCGAACCGAGGAGGAGAAAGAGAGTGAATGTGAACCAGGTAGGCAAAGCATCGAGCAAAGTGTGAATTCAAAGCCAATAAATAAAACTGATGATACACGGGGCAACTTTTTGAGCAATGTAGCTGGTGCCAAGTCTGACTATGTTTTCAACGGAGCAGTGGAAGAAGGGAATTAAGGTAGTAATCTTTACTCATTACCATTGACGGCAACATTGCCCAGCACCGTTGCTCTAAAAGTTGCTCCATGTATCATCAGTTTTAATGTTTACAGCTTCCAACGTTTTAAGACTATACAGTGTCCAACGTAAAATTTTTCCCCCATTGGCCCTCTGGGCCGGTAGATCACAGTTTTACTGGGCCCTTACATATTTTTTACTGGCCCAGGGGGAAAAAGGGGGAAAATAACACGATTTACTTTATTACATATATATATACACATATACACAATGTAGCTTAATGATTCATTCAAACAACAAAGAACTGATTCATTTTCTTCTTATAACATTTTAATTATTTCTGTATTAATTTTTTTATTTGATGGGCTGTTTGCTTCTGCATATTTAAAAACACAAAGATAGGGAGGGACTTGTTGCAGATATTGATTGGCGACATACAGCCAATCACAATCTGCCACGTCATCAAACAAACGTAAAGCCAATCACGTTATGTGACGTTACCAGCAGGCGCAGGGCCCCGAGCAGATCTGACCACCCGAGCACATCTGGTACCTACACCAGCGCCGCTCCCCGCCCCATCTTCCTGGCCTGAAAACCTCCAATGCTCGAGTAGAGGTGACTGAGCTAAATAGAAAAATGTAGCTTGTTGGTCGTGGTTAGTGGTTACTTTAGCAACAAATAACTGTTCATTAGCAAACTCTGTAAATCACAGAGAGTTGAGGCAGAGAAGCCGGAGGACACGGGGAACTTTAAGACATCCAGCAGTGTTGCCTTTGTAGACAGCGTAGGACGCAGGCAGCGATATTGACAGTGAACTGGCCTGAATGGGCCAGTGACTAGCCTATCAACTTACCCAAGATAAATTTTTACTGGGCATTGGGCCATCGCTTATGTCGAACCTTGAGTACGGTGTAACATTGACACCGACTGAAGGTTCCAAAGTACTCTAACTCAAACCCTAACCAGTGTATGTTCATTCTTTTTGTAACAGATGGCGTGCTTGACCTCTCCAACAGGAACTCTAACTGCTCAGTAACTTCATCAACATCCTCATCACATCACAAAGCCTCAGGGTAAGGGAGTTTTTTATTTTTGGATTGCCTCTCCATAAATTGCAGTGGTATTCAGCCGTGTGGCAAAATCCACACAGAAGATCTACTGTGGATATAAAAAACTACACACCGCTGTTAAAATGCCAGGTTTTTGTGATGAATGAGACGAAGATAAGATAAATCATGTCAGAACTTTTTCCACCTTTAATGTGACCTTTAACGTGAACAATTCAATAGAAAAACAAACTAAAATTATCGAGGGGGAAAAATGAAAAATAAAAACCTTACGATAACCTGGTTGCATAAGTGTGCACATCCTTAAACTCATACTTTGTTGAAGCACCTTTTGATTTTATTACATCACTCTTCTTTTTGGGTAGGAGTCTATTGGTTTGCAACATGTTGACGTGGCAATATTTGCCCACCTGTGCACAGCCCTCTTCAGATCACCCCACAGATGTTCAATTGGTTTCAGGTCTGGGCTCTGGCTGGGCCATTCCAAAACATTAATTTTCTTCTGGTGAAGCCATGCTTTTGTGGATTTGGATGTGTGCTTTGGGTCGTTGTTGTGCTGAAAGGTGAACTTCCTTTTCATCTTCAACTTTCTAACGGACACCTGAAGGTTTTGTGCCAAAATTGGCTGGTATTTGGAACTGTTCATAATTCCCTCCAGCTTGACTAAGTCACCGGTTCCAGCTGAAGGAAAACGGCCCCAAAGCATGAAGCTGCCACCACCATGCTTCACTGTGGGTATGGTGTTCCTTGGGTGATGTGCAGTGTTGTTTTTGCGCCAAACATACCTTTTGGAATTATGGCCAAACAGCCTTGGTTTCATCAGACCATAACACATTTTCACATGTGCTTTTGTAAACTTCAGCCAGGCTTGGATGTTTTTCTTTGAAAGAAAAGTCTTCCGTCTTGCCACCCTACCCCATAGCCCATTCATATGAAGAATACAGGAGATAGTTGTCACATGTACCACACAGCCAGTACTTGCCAGAAATTCCTGTAGTTCCTTTAATGTTGCTGTAGGCCTCTTGGAAGCCTCCCTGACCAGTTTTCTTTTCGTCTTTTCATCAATTTTGGAGGGACGTCCAGTTCTTGGTAAAGTCACAGTTGTGCCATATTTTCTCCACTTGATGATGACTGTCTTGACTGTGTTCCATGGTATATCAAATGCTTTGGAAATTCTTTTGTACCCGTCTCCTGACTTATGTCTTTCAACAATGAGATCTCTCTGATGCTTTGGAAGCTCTCTGTGGACCATGGCTTTTACTCTGAGATGCAACTTCGAAAATGTCAGGAAAATCCTACTAGAACAGATGAAATTTATTTTTGATTAATCAGAGTCACTTTAAATGATTGCAAGATGTCTATGAAGATTCTCAGTCATCCAGGTCATAGTTATCCAACGAAGGTTAAAATCAAGGGCAACTGGACTTGGTTGAAGATACTTTAAATGATTGCAGTTGTGTAAAGAATTCTAGTTAACATGAGTTTGAATGTGACTGGTTAATTCTGAACACAGCCACATCCCCAGTTATAAGAGGGTATGGACACTTATGCAACCAGGTTATTGTAAGGTTTTTATTTTTCATTTTCCCCCCTCTTAAAATTTCAGTATGTTTTTCAAATGAATTGTTCATGTTATAGGTCACATTAAAGGTGGAAAAAGTTCTGACATGATTTAACTTGGTCTCATTATTTTACATCACAAGAACCTGGCATTTTAACAGGGCTGTGTAGACTTATATTCACTGTATCTCATTACTGTTAATTAAAATTGGGGGTTCTTCTTAAATACAATAATACATTTACACAACCTAGACATTTTTGTCCAAACCCACTATGACTGAACATTACTTTGCATGTGAGAAAGTCCCCATTTCTAGCTGAGTTCAGCACTATTGTCGACTTCATTTCCTTTTAGGAGTATGGCATGCCTAAGATTCGAAGGTTAGCGTCAATACTTTGTTATTACTGTAATTTTTACTAGTGCTGTTTGATTTAACTAATTAACACCTCTCTGGCCTGGGTGATATGCATATGCCTTTGTTTGGCAGTGCTTTGAGTCAGTTCATTGTAAGTCATTATGAAGAGCTAGCTTGTGTTTGGTGCTTTGGATCTACGGGGTTGACTCTTTTATCTCTTGAGCGGTAACGTCACAGCAATGGCACCGTATTGTAACATTTGCCAACAGCTCAGGATTGTACAATGAGGAGAACATTGCAGTACCTCACAACGATTGCACTTCCTTTTTTACTGATCCAGTTATGATGAGTTTGATTATTCAACCTTCAAGCATGTCTCACTGAAGGATATCACAAAACTACAGGGATTGTGTGTGAGCGCCAAAGTAACCCCAGCCATTCACAGACTGTCCCACCTGGACGTGAAGAGGCTTTGCCACACACAGAGTGTGTGTGTGTGTGTGTGTGTGTGTGTGAGAGAGAGAGAGACACACAGCATCAGACAGGCATGAAACATAACAGTCGCAGTGATGTTACCAACACAAGGCATAAAGGAGTGGACCCCTCGCTCTGCACCCCCCCTGTTCCCTATGCCAAAATCAAACCCCCTCCATCACCTCCATCCTGACCCTGCTGTTTGGTCCTCCCATCCCTAGGAGGCAGCGCAGGCAGAAGGAGGAGTACATTGAGAGGAGCTTGGAGTTGTCTGAGGGGTTGCTGTCCAAGGCCTTGAAGGATATACGTTCAGGGAGGCTGCAGGCGCAGCGTGCCGCAATGCTCTATGGAATACCCCTTCACACGCTGAGGCAAGGTCTGGACAGCTGGGCTGAGGGACAGCTGGGGATGCTACATCAACTTGCACCAGGAAGCAGAGATTTCAGGGATGATGTGACGACATACAGTGTGATGTCATCCATGTTGGGCGGTGAGGCCCGTCTTGTGCTGCAGAAGGTGGCGGCGTGGGCAGAGCGGGCGGAAATTGGAGAAGCTGCAGAGGAGAATGGAGACTTGAGTTTCTCTTCATCCTCTCTTAGCTTTTATCAGCCAAGTGGTCTACAGAAAAACCCCTCCCACTCTTTTCCCCAGCTCAGGGATGCTCTCCAGCCCCCAACAAGTCCCACTCCCAGTCTGGAGCCAGCCACGCCCCTGCGTATTCCTCAGGTCCGTTCCGTGTCTGACCATAACAGGTCAGTCCCAGCTGAGAACTGCAGCGTGGCTGAAAACTTACACCAACGTACCTCATCGACAGAGGGTACTGCCATCTCATCGACAACTACTGTTAGACCTTCATCTCTCTTCAAACTCAGACCTCCTTTCTTACCATATGGCTGTCCGAGCATTACCAACCAGTCACCTCATCGCCTGGGACCACGTGGGTCCTCTCTGGATGATTCAGAAGAGGGGGCAGGTGGCCGGGATAAAGACAAGCAACCGAGAAAGAAACGCGGGAGATACCGCCAGTACGACCACGACCTGCTGGAAGAGGCCATCACTATGGTGATGGCAGGTCGCATGAGCGTTTCCAAGGCCCAGGGCGTTTATGGGGTGCCCCATAGCACACTAGAATACAAAGTCAAAGAGCGCACTGGAACACTGAAGAATCCGCCCAAGAAGAAATCTGCCAACTTTTGTTCATCCAATTCCAACTCGTCTGGTTCTGGTACCATGGCCGGTTCCACTAACTCAGGGACTCTTGCCTCAGCTGCTGACGCTAAGAAGTTCTAGACCACGAAAAGCCTCTAGATCTCCTCAACACTTGAACACATCACCTCTTACAAGATAAATGTTTTCTGGAGACATTTGTTAAAACACAACACATGCCTTTACAAAATATATGGATATCGATATTCAGGTCTTTTAACTATGTGTCTGTAATATGATGGTGATACTTTTAGCTGTATTTCTCTAGCTTCATCCTGGGCTTTGATTAAAACAGCTATGAGACAGTATTTTTCACAAGGTGGCGGTGCTCATTGCAGCTTTTGTTCACAGGGGCTGCTCAACAAACAAAGCTAAAAGATCTTAAAGGATATGGCTTGCATTATATTATCTGTTTACTGTTATCTACAAATCCCATGGAAAGACCACAACTAAAAAGGAATTTTTATCCTGCTAACATGTATTGTCTTCATGGTCAAAGGCTGGTATATTGAAATGCTTAGTGGCAAATGAGCACACTGTCTGCACAAAATGTATTACAGAAGTGTCGTTTTTGTCTCATGACTGAAACTTTGCTGCTTCAGTCCATTACCTTTTGGATTGATCTTATTCTCCTGTGTCCCTGTTTTACAGTTGTGCGTTAGAATATATACCCACACATTTTTCTATAATAATGGAGTTATAAGGCACAGAGGTATACACTGTTTTCAGTGGCTATAAAGACAATACTTTTAAATATATAGTAGATCAGTTGGGTTTTGGTCTCGTTATAGGGATTTGTCAGTAATAACAGGATAAAATAACACCAGCATTAACCTTAAAGACCTTCAGGAAGTTCTGATAGATATATATATATATATATATATATATATATATATATATATATATATATATATATATATATATATATATATATATATATATATATATATATATATATATATAATTTTTTTTTTATTATTATTATTTGGTTTTTCTTTAAAGGTTGTTTTCCACCAGATTGCCCAGGATCAAGTTTGAGAAACACAGTTGTGAGGCTCTTTGAGCTAAGAAATAAAGTATGACTCTCACATTTGCTAGCTGTTAGGTTATTCAGGTTTGATTCAATTCTTAAAGCTCCTTGTTAATGGGGCATTGATGATTGTCATTTGCAGCTTTCTATCTCTTTCTGGGTATTTTACCTAGGCTACTGAAGTGACTTAGAGCCATTATAACAGATAAAAAAACTCATTGCTATTGGTAGACACCTACAGAGATTGTAAAGTACTAACTGCTGTGGTGGCCACGTCTGCATTATGAGTTTTTGTTAAAGAGATTATCTTAAGAAAGCCATTTTGTGTCCACATAGTTTTCCTCTGTATTTGTGCAAGCTAGTCTGAACATTGTATTGAGTGTAGTTGGAATGCAACTGTGTGCAGCATGTTTTGAAATGTGCACTGATAAGCTTGGGAAATCTGTGTTATTGTGTATGTGTACTGTTTGTGAAATATGTTCTTTTATTATCACAAATATTTACTAATTCTACTGTAGCTGTATTACTGTAAACCTCATACATGACTGCTGCTTAAAACTTTACTGGACTGGACTGTTTCCCCGGCACAAAGAACAGCTACAACAAAGCTTAAGTCAAGTAATCTGATTGTGAGGTGACATGCAATGTAGTGTGTGTCTAAATGAGGGGTTGGAATTTAGTTTCTTCATAGGGTTAAATGTTATTGATGGTTGATTGAATAGGTTACTGGAGTTTACAGTCATTTTCCGTGAAAAGTCGGCGGTGTGACAATGGCTTGATTTAGTGCAAGGCGTAGAGGCTTCTTTGTCTGTGTCCGGGGGAAAGGCTAAATGTTGTGTCTGCCTCTGAGATGGGCCTATTTCCATTAACAGTGCTATTACCAAAGCAGCAGTTCAGGGTTACACACACAAAGCTGCTTGGATTTGTTTTGCTGTGATGTCAGCCTGCCTGTCTCTTTCTCTCTCGAACCTCGTTGCCACATATACCTCTGAACGTTATCTGCCTATAGCCCAGTGTCACGTTTCACATCAAGGCCTCTGTGTTATGATACTGAATCTGCTGGGGTATGAGCCTCTTATTAGTTTAGGAGCTGTTTGCCTCTCAAGGAACAACGCCGATGGGCAAACGTATTGCCATCAAGAACAGTTACACTTCTTCAAGTAAATTATTATACAGTCAGTCAGCTGTTTGGCGGAGTGTGAAATAATTTCTTTAATGGCTTAAATTCTGCCCTCTGGCATTTACAGGAGATCTGCCATGTTCCTAGCTTGCAACAGGAAGCAGATTCCTGGTGCAAGTATTTGTCCTTGTTGGTTGTCTTTGTATGTGTTAATTGTAATTTTTTGTCTAATTGTAGGGCTATATAATTATTTTTTAAGATTTTTGGCTAGATTGTTTGGCATTTCAACCTTGTTAACTGTGGCATCTATAGAAATACTCCTGCTTCTGAATGTCTCCACTCATAACAGTACACAGTGCCCGTGTCTGGGCCCACAGCATAGTGCAGCATGATGTATCTACTCTGGGAAGTATATATCAAAGGGCCAGTTTCTAAACAAGCCTCTTGAAGAAAAGGATACTTATTTCATTATATAAGTTTACTTGCAGTATATATTGGGAACACACCGGGGCTTGTTTGTTTGTTTGTTTGTTTCTTTTTTATTTTGGACTGAACTGGCAAATCTTTGAAACGACTTAACAGAAATCTGCTATTTATTAGGGGTCGGAGAAAAATTGATTGTTAGATGCATCGCGATGCGGACGTGGAAGATTCAGACTCGATTAACAAATGTAAAAAAAATTGATTATTAAATGTTAATTGATAACGTAATGTCAATGGAACACAAAAGGTGGAACTAGCGGAAGTGCTGCGCCCGGACCCTCTGTGGCACGCACATAACAGGAGAGACCAGCATTCCCCTGTATTCGGAGCACCACCGCTGCTGAATGAATAACCACTCTACTTAATGCTGCGTTCCATTTACCTCAGAGGTCGGAGCTGGGAATGACGTCACACCCGAGTTGATGGCGTTCCAGTTACAAGTTGGAAGACCTCGCTCGGCTAGCCATTGTTTACAACTAGCCAGGTTAGCCATTGGTAAGCCTTTCCAAGTCGGAAATTTGACTTAAGGGGGTGTTCCCTCTGAAATTTCTGACTTTGAACTCTGAAATTCCAACTTCCCATGTCAAATGGAACGCACCATTAGTGGAGAAAAATACTTGCAGTACATTTGTCTGGTAGTAAACGTGTAGTGTAGGTCACAGTGTGTCCGTTAATAAAAGTCGGTTAGCACTAGCTAACATCTCCCCTGTACACCACGTTTTTTGGCTGTTATGTAACATTAGTTAAATTAGTAACGAATATTAATTAGCTCAGCTGTATGTCATTACTAACTTAACTACTTGTCAAGGGTTGAGAGTATCAGGTACAAGCTTAGACTAAACTGGTGAACAGCTCTTGTACACATACTGTACATCCTAAGTTATATTTCAGTTTTCAGAGGAGTTTGACAACTGGTTGTCATAGAAATGAGGGACCATGGAGATGAGGTTAATGAAATGAATTAGGAATGCAAACTAATCCTTTTAAGCTAATTAGGAGAGTTTCTTTTAGATTTTAAAGCTCAAATTAAATGCTTAGTAATTATCCAGAGATCCTAGAAAAAAAATTATGCATCGAGATGCATCGATAATCGTTTCATAATCGCATCGCAGCCCTCTGAATCGTAATGGAATCGTGAGGCGCCGAGAGATTCCCACCCCTACTATTTATGCATAAATCAAATCTTGCACTATGATTTACAAGAAGCATTTTTATTGTAGAAACCTGTTTTGTGTTGTTGCTGCATACTTATTTATTGATTGTGCTTCAGAACTGTGATTTTACTAGTTTGATTGTTGTAGTTCTTGATTTGTATTGCGGCACTTTGATGCAATGTGAAATGTATATTGCTACAACTGCATGATCGCTTTTAAATGTTAGCCTATATCATTTTTTTAATCTTCAAATGACACCCCCTTACTATAGTGGTTGTTCAGTGCTTATGTTAAAAATTAAATTATTTAAGTGATTTAAAAATAATAAATCAAACTCAGTAACACTACAGATTGTAACACTGCAAATAGGCCAGTTGAGCAGGTCTGGACACACAGTAATTGTTCGTCAATATTATCTACTATCAGACACTTTTTTTTAATGTAATTAAAATGAATGACTTGCTTTTATAGTAAAATAAATCACTCACAGGACCTGATTTAACTGTTAGATGATTTGAGTTTTTGTTTTGTTGGTTTTTTTAACTGTTTTTGGTAAAGTTCTGTTGAAAAGCACCTTTTCGTTTAAGCGTTTCTACAATCGTTCCTTCTGCTTTTAGCAGAATGTTATCGTTTGCCTTCAGCAACCCATTAATAAAACAGTTCTCTAATCAGTTGCCTGTCATAAATTTACTAACATATGGTTGATTTCAGGGTCTGGCAGATTATTACCAGTAGTAGTAGAACAATTTAACAATACTGTTTTCAAAGAACTGCTTTTTCATGCTGGTTTGACAGAGGCATGGTAATGAACTTGCTCGGTCAACCCCAAAATTCAGCAAAAGGCAATCACAATTTGTGTGTTTCGAAATCTTGATCACTTGTTTGTATTATGTAAAAGTGGATTTCATTTAGAGTCCATACTATCATTTCATGAACAGAGAGGCTAACTATCAGAAGAAAACTTTTTGAATCCATCCTAGGGTAAATTCATCTGTGAACTTATTCTTTTAGAAAGAATAACAATGTTATTCTGATGATAGTAAATGTAGTAGACTGCAGTTGGCACATGCTGCAGGCTACAAACGACTATAATACTCCAGCACTAATAAAGACATAAAATGAATTGATATAAGGGTAAGTACACTGTTTGCTATGGCTGTGCAGGGAGAAATTTGAAGTGGTGTGAATTGCTGTCTGCCACAATGTATTTTTGGTTCTACTGTTAATGTGAGTCATTTGAAACTGGGCTCTCCTTATGATTAAAACATCCTAACTCCAGTCTTTTTATTTTTGCCTCTAGCAATTTATTATCGAAACAATTGGAAGATCTGGGACAGCGAGGGACTAAGTGTCGTCAGAGGTCTGTTTTGGATGTGGTTCTCGGCTCACTCTGCCTATCACACCGTTCCTTACTCTACCAGATCCTGAAGCTGGCACACCAGGAAGAATTGCTGTTGTTCCTTAATCACAGACCTTTAGGTCAAACTGAATCTCACTGCTGTCACTGTAGTGTAAACCCAAAGGATAATGTTATCCCTAATGCAGTCCCATTTAGTGAATGTAAAGCCCATAACAGCAGCCCATACTACCCCTTAACTGATTGTGATCATCAACGTCACGGCAGCACAATATATCATCCAGGAGACTGCAAGTCCAGTTGTAGAATCCATCACTTCCCTTTAACTGACTGTAAAAGTGAAACTCCTCTGGGCTCAAGCTACAGCTGTGTGCAAATGTGCAGGATGGGAACCTACACTGTTCTTTGCCCCAAGAGGCTACACTGCATTTCCTGCCAAAGCCTGGCTGTAGGTCGAATCAACAAAATAGTGTGTTCATTTGCATCCTCCCCTTCGTTACCTAAATCCCCTTCACTTTGCACTCCCTCCTCTAGTTTATGCCCTTCCTCATCGATCTGCTGTAACCAACACAACCCCCACTCTTGTCCCTGTTACTCAAACCATGCTTGTCTGACGCAGGTCAGGAACACAATAGAAAAGGGCGTTGGAGATGGGGATCCTCCTTGTCCTGTCCTGAAGAGAGAGCAGAGCCCCTCTCCTCCCCCTCTGTCCCCTATCCCCGCAGACATTGGTAAAACTGACGAAAAGCCACCCTCCCTCCTTCACCATAGACAAGAGGAGGAAGCTGACCTAATGGTTAAAGATTGTTTTGTGAATGCAAGCCCCCAGGAAGCAGATCCTGATACAGCTACAGAGGAGGAACAAGAGAGTCGAACACCAAGAAGAAGTCAGTCTGAGCAGAACCCGAGTGGGACTTTACTCCAGGACGTTGTGAATCGCTTCAGTGAGAAACTGGAGACAATTAGACCTATAGAGAAGGATCCACCTCTGGTTTCCACAGCCATTAATTTCTCTGAAAAGGAGTGGCCACAGTCTCCCTCAACCAGTCAGAACCTACAGTTTCATGCTGATGCCCATCTGACTGAAATCATCACCACAGTGCTTCACACAGGTAGTGCTAGTGACTACAATCTCAGTGAGCTGTTCAATCGCCATGATAGCAAAGAACCCAAGTCACCCAATACCCGTTCCCGTCGTCGCCAAGAAGTCCTTACTGCTATGGCAACACCCGCCGATGATGCTTCAACCAGAAGGCATACTTTACAGATTAAACGAGAGCTTGCCATGTTTGACCAGTCCTACAATAGGAGAAAGGTGCCGCTAGCAAAGAGAGCAAGATTGAATAATGGAAATCTCACTGCATCACACACTTCATCAGATTCAAACCTAATTAAAGAGGAGTCTAAAAAAGAAATGGCGGTGGGTGTCGAACCTGTAGAGAATCACAGACTTAGGGAGGGACCACTGAACATTCTCACTGTAGAAAATGGCAGGGATGAAGTGAAAGAAGATATACAAACAGTTATAGTAACAGACGAAGTTCAGAACATTAAAACAGAGGAGAAAGAAAGGGAAATATCCAGTGAGGAGAAAGATCCTACTCTCTCAGGCACTGAAGTGACCAACACCCCTGACCTGCAGAGCAAGTATGGAGAACAAGGCGCAATCGGTGACTGTGTACAAACACAGATGACGACTGTGACTGCAACCTCAGCAACCTTTAAAGAAGATGGTATGGGTAGTGGCGGCGCTGGAAGTGATAGGAGCCATGAAGAAGCCCCATCAGGTCAAAGCTCTGATAGTGACAATATACTAAGCAAAGGTAAAGATTGCCATATTAGAGGGAGGCAGAAATGTCAGTCACACCAATCCAAGGAGGCAAGGAAATCCAGGAGAAATATAGTGCGTCCACAGCGGTTCTCCTCCTATGTCACAGAGCCCAGGAAGATGTTCTTTGTTGCATGTTTCTCTGATAGCATTTTTAACCAGAAAACACGAAAGGACAAGGCTTTGACAACTAGCACCCTGGATGCCTTATCCAAAGATCCAGATTCTAAGGACACCCAACTTGAATCAAGAAGGGAAGCCCCTCTGTCCTCACCTGAGCCTACATGGAAGCTTGCGTTTGAATCAAAACATAGAGGACAATGTGAACCATCTAACAAAGAGTCAAAAGGTCTTTCCCCAAACCAGGTCATTCCACAAACTGTGGCTGCCAAAGAGAAGAGTCCTACAAAAGCTAGCTCAAATAAAAGAACAGATGGCACCGAATGTGCTGCCAAACTTTTTGGAAGGCTACGATCCTCTCCAAAAAGACTACATGACTCGCAGACAATTTCAAGAACTCTCAAAAACCCATCAAATACAGACGTCACCATTAAGTCTGCTACCTGTGTTGAGAGCCCCCCCAACTCCCAAATCCAGTACACTAGTCCAATTAAGCTCATGTTTGTATCACCAGTAAAGGATAAGGAAGGAGTCAAATATAGTCTCAAATCCGCAGGCTTTGGTTCGAGTGGCCATGCAGAGGAACCCTTTGACCCATGTGAAGAGTCGTCATGGTCAGGGACACTTCAGAAACTCAAAAGCCAGAGCACTGAGCCAGCTAATTCACAAGTTAAATATAATTCGTCACCACTAAAGTCTGCTACCTCACCTGCAAGAGCTGCTTCTTCACCATCCAAGTCATCTTCTTCACCATCCAAGTCTTCTTCCTCACCACCCAAGTCGTTGTCTTCACCAGCCAAGTCTGGCGTCTCAAGACCCAGGTCTGCTTCTTCACCAGCCAAGTCTGCTTCTTCACCAGCCAGGTCAGCCTCCTCAAGACCCAAGTCTGCTTCTTCACCAACCAAGTCTGCTTCTTCACCAGCCAGGTCGGCCTCCTCAAGACCCAAGTCTGCTTCTTCACCAGCCAAGTCTGCTTCTTCACCAGCCAAGTCTGCTTCTTCACCAGCCAAGTCGGCCTCCTCAAGACCCAAGTCTGCCTCTTCCCCAAAGTCAGCTTCTTCATCACCTAAAATGAGTTGTAGAAGATCAGGCGAAGGTACGCCTACTAAACGTGTAGTTGGAACTGAGAGTCAGAGATCACCAGGTGACTTGCTATCTTTCCATGAAAGCAGTCCTCCAAAAAGGCGTCCGGGTCGACCAAAGAAGCTGGGACCACAGCTGGAGCAAAAAGTGAAGAGGCCAATTGGTCGACCACGCAAGCAGAAGGCTGTGGATTTAGAAATGGGGGCGAAAATGGAAAATGGAAAATCTATATTACCATCTGACGTTGAGGAGAATGTAAACAAGAATCTGAAAATAACAGTGGTGTATGGCCGTTCAAGGAGAAACAAACGAACGGTGTCTGAGGGCTTTGACCAGTTGCAAACAGAATTCCATGATGCTTGGCAAGCAGTGGGCCTAAAAAGTGACTTTGGCTTCTTAATGCACAACTCTAGAAGCAGCTCAGGTAGTATCAAAACACCCTCAACAGAATTGTCAGAGGAACTACATTTTGTCAGCCCCGTGAAAGAGTCAGCTCCTCAATCTAGCAGTAACATCAAATGTCAGAAGCAGGATGATTCTGTGCCCTCAAGGAAACCAGGCAGACCTGCAAAAGTTAAAATCTCTGGAATCTCAGTTACAGTAACCACAGTATCACCTAGGCAACGTAAAATTCAGATAAATAAGGAGACTCTGCAGTCTCCTGAAACACAAATTCATAAGAAAGTACTTCTACCAGAATTCAAGTCTGCCAAAGAGCCCTTGACAATCACTCGTCAGTCAACAAGCAAAAGCAGTGGCACAGAGGAAGGGACAGAAACAAAGCATGAAAGTCAAGACAGTTTGCCAAATCAGCATGTTGGAGTGCGTCACTCAATGAGAGTGAGAAAGCCTTCAATCCACTTTCTGCATGCCGTTGCCACCTCCACCTCCAGATCATACAGCCACAGTAATGCTCTGCTACGGCGGTCTAAACAACTTCTGCTTAACAAGGCTAGCAATGAAAGGAAACAGAGGGAGCAACAGAATAGTGCAGAAACTTCAGGAGAGAAACGAAAGCTCAATGGACAAGAGAGGAAGAACATCTCTCAGGACCTAAGCAGAGTGGCGGGGGTGTCTGTAGACTCAATCTTTAGCCCAAAAGAGACCCTAAGGTGGTGGGCAGCATCAGCTGAGGAAAATACTATGAACCAAGAGTTTGCCAGGCGAATACGACTCATCTCTGACACCTGGGTTTCAGACACAGTGGAGAACCAAGCAAAAGAAATTGCCTTTAATTCTAAACTAGGCAAAGGCAACAGTTCATTTAACAGGAAGTCAAAACATTCCTCTGTTGTTCGAACACTGTTTGACTGTCCTCCTAACAAACCAAGTTCTTGTAGCATGCAACAGCTCTGTTCCTGGTTTATGCAGACCACAGAGACACAGTCTCTGGCTATTGTCAAGAAGGCAAGCTCCCGTAATCCTTATGAACTTCTGCACTTCCCTCGTTCTGCCAATCAAAAAAGTGTTTGCCACAGTCCTCAGGCAGAGCGACTCCGCAAACACATCAAGAAATTTGCCAAAACTGTGCCAAAAAGTCCTCTGCAACATCAGCAGGCTCAAAGACGGTTGAAGAAGAAGAACATGGCACATTTATCAACACATAATATTAGGCGACGACTTTTCACTCCCAGATTTGCAACAGCCATGCTCAGTCAGGGAGACCAATGGAGGAGAAGCAGAGCATTTGGTGAATACCAGGCCACTTTATGTAGAGCAAGGACAAGGTTCCTAACCCGGGAAGAAAGGAAGAGGGGGCAAAAGAGGCAGAGGACTAAAAAAAACATAAAAGTAACTACAAGTTGTTCAAATGGATATGTAGTGACTGGACTACAACCAAAAGTTAAAGCATTACGCAGATCAGCAAAAGATCAGTTATCTGAGTGTTTGGAGAACAGTTCTGCCACCAGTTCTGTTGATCAAACTCGGGAGCCTGTGGATGTAGCCAAAGAGCAGAACCTCTGCTCTAAAGCCTGGAGTCCTGAGACACTGAAGGAATGCCGGGTGTTTCTGAGGAAGATCAACTCTCCAGACAATGAATCAACTGAGGAAGAATGGGACTCCTGTACTGTGACACTGGATGATGGGTCACCTTCAGCATACCTCTTTGCTGGAAAGGAGAGAGAACTAGTAGGAGTTGGTAAAGCTGTGAAAACTGAAAGAAAAAGGAGTGTGAACAGGACTGCCTCAAGAGAGATAGCAGGTTCTGCACCTAAAGCAGTCCAGGAGCAGGGCGAGATGCCAGTGGGGAGGCAGAAAGGCAAATACAAAAGTCCTGGGGTTGTGTCTACTGAACCACCGCAACCACCACCAACGAAGATGTTGAGACAATCGCGAATGAGGGGCCTAACCGGGCCGAGATGGTGCGACTTTGTGTTTGGTAAATACCTTACTTCTTTTGTTGAATATCACTAAAGACATACTTTTATCAAGCTTCAGTTGGATATCATCACAAAGTCACCTTGTGCTCTTTTTCTTTTCTGACAGAAAACTAAACAAAGCATGAGGCCTCCTCCTAACGGAAAGGGACTGTGGTTTAACATGGTGCCTTTGGACATTGAGCTGACCATGTAGACTGACCATCCCACTATGGTTTAGTCTCACACTCAGCAATTATGTAGCAGTCTAACTTAACAAAAGCTTGATGTTGCACTATTTTTATCCATGGATATGTTTGTACAGAATGTTGTTTTTTTTAATTTTTTTTTTATTGTCAACTTGCCTTTGTCTTTTCTGAACATGTATAGTAGATCAAATCATTACATCAGAGTTTTAATGAGACAAGTGCTTATACAGTGAGCCCTGTCAGGGTGGCTGTATTGGAAGGAAAGACAAAGCTTGACTGCATAAAGACCGTGCCATCTCTCCAGGGACATACCTCATTATCAAGGCCACCACTTCTTTCACACAGTGACCTTGTCCTATAAATTTTAACGTGAAACCTTTAACAATTTTTAATATTTTAAGTCATTGCCTCCACCATAAAAATGTACAGCTGTAAATCCCCCACTCCCCAAATTATTTTTATTTATAGTCACCCTTATCTTGGCACTGTTTCAGTTGATAATTACTAATTTAATTTTTTTTGTATTTTATATTCGATAGAAGTATATTTAAATTTAATTTTGATCCAGCCGTTTGCAATATTTTTCTTTGATGCTTCATAGGGCTGTACAGAAGCTTTTCTCTTAATCTTGACATTCAAATTCTAAATCAACATTTGAATGCTGAGCAGTTTTGGTCCCCCCCCCCCCATCTCAATTCAATCGGCAGCATGCAGTGTGTGAGGTCGGGACTATAAAAACGTAGCGACCAGGTTACACAGCTGTCGCCGTCTCTCTCTGTTCTGTTAGGTCTGTGTTGTGTGACTGTCTGACCGAGGGTGGGGCTGAGCTACACACACGTACAGTGGACAGGATGAAGCATGGCTTCACCTGCATGCATTCACACAAAATCTGGCAATATGGCTCTTTTCATACAGGATTTTACAGAGTTGTGGCAGTGTTTATTTGTGCGTTACAACGTAACTACCGTGAAGCAATCACAAAGTAACTTTTCATTTCTCTGATTCACTGCTTTTCACGCGCTAATGCCGCTCACTTTTTCTTATTAGTGTGATGACGAAATAACACATGATGCCAGACATTCGAAGCTTCATTCAAGAACCTCAGTAGAAGCTTCAAATGTGAAAAACAAAAAGACCATAGGGACAGCTCTAATGCTTCAGTCACTGTTTGCAAGTCAGTCACCCAAAGAAGTGGTTCAAATGAAGGGACCTTTCGTTTCAACCAAGCCCCATCTTTACCCCAACCACTGTCTGTGTGGGCCCAAACTTATAAATTGTGTATTGAACTATAGTAATTGACCATCAGCCTGACCTAAAACCAAATATGTTTTTCATTATTTCTTATACAGTATTTTTCAAATATTTGCATGTCTTGGCACCAAACTGCAATTAGTACAAATGTTCTAAATTACTAAATATTCAGTCCCAGACACCCCACAAAATGTAGAGGTATATGTGAACTGATGAGAAAATGGCATTATGCAGTGGTAGAAAGTAGATTCTGATTCATTTGTTAGTTTGTGGGATCTGTCTTATTTTAATTCAGTTATCTTTATGTGTCTGTCGTTTTCTTTTCACCCAAAGCATATGCTGTAAATTGGTGTCAGATCTACTTCTTGCACTATTCCATCTGAGATTATAAATCCCACTACAGATTCCTCCCCCATATTTTGCACATCCCATGTCCCACTACCAAACCCTACTGTAAAACTAGAGAATATATTTGGTGCAATACAAACCCAGATGATATATCAGTATGTAGTAATTATTTTATTGCTGACAGACGAATGGATGTACACAAGTACCAATGGCCTGGGATGTTAGTTCAGCTGTTTCCATCTTAAAGGATATTTCTATACAAACTGTCAGATTGATTTTTCCCACCTGCTTTGTTCTCCTCAGTGAAGCAGAAAAAAACAAATCCATAATTAATATAGCATTAATTTTATCAAATGTACTAGCATTATTTACTGTTTAAATGCAGGTGGGAAATGTGTTGCTGTTAAGGTTTGTTTTTCCCGCAAGTTGCAGCAAGAGACTGCTACCTCCGCTGGGGCTTAACTAGGCCTACTGCTCTTTTGCTTGTCAACAGTGTGATAGACAAGGCCAGACAGATGATCAGTAAACACTAATCTCGGATCAATATCATGTTTTCCTGCCCTCTAAAGATCCAAGATGTCTGGCTGTAGGTCAAAACTTGTAGTGTGTATTGTGTATCTGACATCCCCTTGTATGTATGTCACTATGGTTGCTGTTTCAACATGATGGTGGTGGCTCAGTCTTGTGATAAATAACCATCAGCCCCCTGTTGAAGAACCTGGTGCTAAACATCTGTTGTATATTTTCTTTATCATGTGTTTTTATACTGTCCATTACAGATGCAACAAAGGTGTCTGTGATTGGAACAATAAAGAGTCTTTTGAAAGAACCAGCGAGTAATGTGATTTATAGTACACAGTGAAATGTAAAAAAAATACGACCCATACAATTTCCAGTTTTGAGCAAGCGAGATCCTGCTATATACCTATAGCAGAAAGATTATCTACTAACATTTGGATTTTTCATTGAAACTACAACTATCTGGTTCCCGATTTGAAGTTGGCTAAGATTAATCTGAAAGTATCAAATTGGTAGAATAAAATATAAATTGCTATGGCCGGGGACCACTTGTCTGGTTTTGTGATAATGAAACAAGGACAAGCTGTGGCATATTCCACTTTTAATAGTTAAAATGATAAAACTTGAAACTGGGAAACCGACAAAACAGAAACGGGTAAATATAACTACATAGAAAGAGGGGACCCCATTGTAAGGGCTCAGATGTACCAGGTTCAGTCACATTTACTGGTGTAAATTTTACTACATGTTAAAAGAAAAGTAAAGAGTTCCACATTAAAAGTATTTGCGAATTATATTGGAGCAGTTGAACACGTTATAGAATAACCAATTTTAATGTCCATTTTTGCATTAACTGCTTATAACCTGACTTCTACGACACATTGGCCTCCTGGTTGATGAGGGTGTTGAGGTCCAGCTTCGTTTTCTCTAGAGCTGCAGTCTTGGCCCTCCGCGAGGGACGCACCACAGGAACGGACTCTGGCACATTTTCTCCATCACTGTAGTCAAAAAAAAAAAAAAATGACAATGTGAGAAATATAGTTATGGTATCAAACCATGCACATAGCTATACACATGTAAAGGGAAACCAGTATGTGCTGACAAAACTTCACCTCTCCTCCGATGACTCTGCCCTCCTGCTCGGCTTTTTTCCCCCTTTGGCTGTGCAGACTCTCCTCTGACCTGTGTACACAAACACTCAGGTTACAATCACGGTGCTGACTCAGGAAGATCTCTAAAAATATAGTGGCACTATGAACAACTGCGGTTTAAGATGAGTATACAGAACCTGCATTACCTCTTTTGGCTCTCTTGGCAGATTTTGATGGATCATCTGTTGCAGCCTCTGTGGAAAAAAGGCAGACAGAAATTTCATATTTTTTGCAGTTCCTCTCTCTGCTAGATGTTTTCTTGTCTTGACAGACACAAAATAGGGTGAAGTGAAGCATTTGGAATCCACTTAGCAATGGTGATTAGACATAATCCTTTAGCAGGCTGAGTTGTTACAAACGTGTTTTGTGTAAATCCAGTTAGACGGGCAGTGAGAGGGTAACATTTGTTTCAGATGCTCAGGGGGAAGTCAGGTGTTCTTTTGTACAGACGCGCATGTGTGTGCGCGCATGTGTACCATCTGCATTGACATCCAGTGGTTGCAGGGCGCTGGCACTGAGAAGCTCGGCCTGTTCTTTTGAGTCCACCAGCTGAAAAATCATTTTCTCCAGAGCACGGAGACAGACACGATCCTTCACCACCTGAAGAAAAGATGAAATGAAACATTAAGTCTTTCAAGAGGCAGATACATCAAACAGTATGAGTGGCTGTTTGTTCTTAGCCACACTAGTAATGCGTTTCATGGGATGTACTGACTTTGATGATCCACTTCAGATTTCCACCATCATCAGAATCCAATTTTAGATTGTGCAATATTTTGCTTTATGACCAAATACTAATTTCTATCAGCCTCAGCTGTACTGTACAGCTGTACTCAGCTGTGTAGCAAATGTTACAATAAATACGCTAAGCTAACGGTCAACATAGTAAACATATAACCTGTTTAACATCATGAGCTGAGTTTTAAGTGTTGTTGTGTCTTACCTGTACAAGCTGCTGCAACAGTGTCTGCAGGTCTTTCCTGACGGTCTCATCTCTGCTGAGCTCCAGGTTGCTTAGAGTCTTGGCATAGAGACGCACCTCAGGGGCCGTGGGGTCCTTCAGCATCTCTCCACAAGTACGCACCGCCAAGTAGTCATGGACACACACCTCCTAAAGAAACATGCAAGACGTACAGTTTCCACGCAGATTCTATTTATTGTGTCTCATTAAGCGTTTTCTAAATAGTCTATTCAATCATTTGTGAATTAAAGCTCTAACATGAACTGATGCATTCTAGAGAACAATTTGCAGACTTCATCTTTGAGGAGAAAGATGATGAAAAGCTCAGAGCGCTAATAAAAACACAAACACTAATAAAGATTTTTCACAGATTGATCACTGAGGGTGTTGTTAGTTCACGGTAGTCTCAGTGGATGTTTCTTACCTCTGTGTTAGCTGATGGCTTAATAAGTGCACTCGGACGGGTCAGCTCCACGAGCAGCTCAACCACATTGTTGACGTCCACCTCAGCGAGTGGAGAGGTGGCTGGGGCGTTCATCAGAGTCCGAACAGTCGGCAGGAAACTCTCCTCCACGACCTCCTGATGGGCCCTAATACACACAAAGATACGCTCCATATTAGTTTCTATTGTGTAACTAATAACTTCACCCAGGCAATAACAATACTAATTATAGGATGATGGGGAAACACAGTTGTAATAAATTAAATTAACACGTAGCTCTTATTGTTTGCTTGAGTATGTGTGCATGTGTGACCTGCTCTCGCGGGCGTAGAGCTGGAAGAAGACACCGAGGCAGTGCCTTAGTCGGGTGTCGTCCTCAGTGACGGGATTGTACCACAGCAGCACTAAACGGGAGAGCATCTTGGCACTGGAGATACGACCGGTGTACATTAATTTGGCCAAGCCCTCCGCCGTCTCTGTACGCAGGTCAGACACCTGAAAATGTTGAACACACGCACAGATTATTTAATTAAAATAAAATAAAATAAATTTACACCCAACTACATAGATACTTGTGTATCACCCTCAACCCCTCACCTCACTGTCCAGGAACTCTGAAAGCATCACAAGTATGCTCTGTGCAGTGTCCTCTGGAGTATTTCCCTTCTCCTCAGTCACTGGTGCGTCCTCCTCGTGTCTGTCTGGTGACTGGGAGAGGGGCTGAGTCGCACCTGCTTCAGAGAGCAGCTGGAAGCCAAACAGCAGCAGCAGATCGATAACGGCCCGCAGGGCACTGATACGGATCTTTACCTCATCCAGCTGGGCAATCTAAAAACACACACATACGCACAAATACGACTACTTTAGTACTTGTAGCAGGTGATTCATGTCTGTGTTTTTGGGTCAGTGAACCAAAACTACATATAAAATCATGTATTGGAGCAGCACAAGTCTCAGCAGCAGAAAACTTGAACGCCAGCAACTGAGATGTTTATAAATGTATTTGAATTTTAGGTAGACAAAACACGTGTACAAATTACCTGTAGCAGCAGGACCATGTGAGTTTTGGCCAGCTCCTTGCTGTGCAGAGTGCATGTTCCCAGACACACCACGGCCATATTACGGACGGCAGGGTGAGCATTTGCTATACTGGGCAGGATCTGGCAGAGATGGAGAAAAATAATGACTCTACTAAACTCCATAACCTCACAGATGTCTGACATAAACAAACAATAAGCAAATAATCACAGATGATTCTAAGGTTTCATCAGATGGTAAAAGAGGCTACCGAAATCATCAATAGAAATTACTATCAATGCAATAAGAGTTTTCAAAGTTATGAACCATCAGAGGGCCATCTGTGAAGGATTCTCCTCCAGCAACTTTATAGAAAAAGGTTGGTGCCTGACAGACAAGGTGGTACAAAGTTGAAATGCAGGTGCAACAACTTTGGAAAATTGGATCATTTTACACAGAAAGGAGAAAAAGGGTACAGATTTTGTCATAATCTGCCCCCATGTCTTCTATAAGATTAATTATGCACATAGTCTGGAACACATTATATCTATCTATTCTTTGTTTCAGTGAAGGTTAAAAGACAAGCTTCTGTAAATTTTAATGATTTGACCTATTGTCATATTTCAACTTTTAGGTTGTGTGGTACTGAAAATGTATGCTGTCAGATTAGAGCGGACAACACAGACTTTAATAAAAAAGAGATGTGCAACAGATTTACACACTGCGTTCACTGGCATTAATGAAACTACTGAAAAGTCCTTGGCAGGCGCCTTGGTTGTCAAACTTCTCATTTCAAAAATATCCATTTGGACCTGATGGGAAAATACATCTGTACATCTACAATAACATAAATATATGATGATGTGTGCAGTGTGGGTTAATACCAGTGAGGACATTAAGGCACTTATGGTTGGACCAATTCGCGTCTTGATGCTCATCTGCTTCAGCAGTTCTGCACACATCGTTAGACACCTCAGAAGAGTCTCCGGGTCATTCTGAAAACACAGAAAACAAAAAAATATATTATACTGAATGACATGTAAAGACATGGAGATGGCGCTTCCTGTGTGGTTATGTACCTTCTCAGTGCGGGTCTCCTTGTCGGCCGGTTGGCTGCTCTCTGCGATTTCCTGGATGATGCAGTTCCTGCGGTTCTCGAGCTCTGTGATGGAGTCCTTCAGCTCTGCAGCGCGGCTGAACTCCTGGGCAGTGATACAGTCCTCCAGGGTTTCTTTAGCCTCCAAGATACGCACCTTCACCTCTGCTAGCTGGAGGGGAGGAGGTGTGAGGTCCGTAAAGGAAAGAGGAGAGTCATTCCTTAGGTGAAATACACTCCAGAGGATTCTTGAGCGTTGAGACGGGTAACTGCACCTCCGTTAACAGGAAAAACAACAACAACAGCTGAGCCTCTGGGACAGGATCTAACCCTCTAGAGGTTACGTTACTCACTGGAAAAAGGGAGGTGTGTTTGTGTGTGTGGACCAGATGGAAGCTAAACACCTGAGCTAGGATTGACTTCCTTGGCAGCCGTTTGACTTCAAAGATATGTACTTTCAGTGCTTGCTGAAAAGAACAACCAAAAGTTGTGAGCAATCCCTCGCTGCATATTTGTGTTTCTAGGTAACCGATGACTTTCACTGAGGTTAAAGAAAGGAAAAGATGTGTGATGGAGCTGATAAATCAAAGGAAAAGTACTGGAACTGGATACACCAGGCAAATAACAGATTGGCAAACAAGATGTGCACCTTCCACTCCACTGAAAACATGCTTTGCCTCACAACACAAACCATCAAAAAATAGACAGAGAGGGAACATAAATAGACCAAAGACCAGAGACGACTTAAGATAGGTTGTTAGTTAGAATATATAGAATATGTAAAACTTTTGTAGCAATCAATCTCTCTGTAGCCTTGTAATAATATACACTTTTCTACCAAATAAAAACTAGTAATGTGCCAGTATGTGGTGTTTTCATGCATCCCCAAAAACAGCAGGGCAATTGGAAGGGATTACTGAATTTAATTGCTTTGGGTGCTTTTGGTTGGCGCAGTGTTTCCCCACCTGGACCTGCTGCCGACGGCTCTCATTCTCATCCACTGGCTGACTGGCCTCCATGATGGGCTCCCTCACATCCGAGATTATTTCTGCCACCTGTGTAACACAAAGCCAGCTCATTTAGACATCCGTCTATCCAGTGCAATTGTCCCACCACTCAGCGGCGTGATGTCTCAAAACAAAAGAACTTTAGTAGCAGAGGACAGTTTAATTCACGCATCCATCACCACAATCATTTTGAGTCCATCTGGAAACGTTGATAAATAATTTCAGCTTTTAAATTTTAATTTCTGCCTAATTGGTCTGTCAAATTAATTTATGGAGGGCACTGGTACATGCATGATATACGCGTGGAAAAGAATCACAGTGTGGATTAAATGAACACTGAATTCACAGTAGTTAATGGAGAGTTCAAGGTGTAAAACTTACAGTCTGAATGCGTCTGTGGTCATCAGGAATGAGGGTGAGGAGTTTCTCAGTGAGGAGAGAGACCAGGGAGGAGGGAGTCTGTGGAAGAGCCAACATCTCCTGCAGGATGGCCAAAACACGCTTCCTACATAACATCAAACATAAAAAACACCTCAACAAACCGATGATAATTTGATTTGGCAAACTGGACACAAAACTGGCATTTCTTTGTCATGTATGATTATAAATTGAAGATGTCACATTCGGCTGTGGGAAATTGTAACGGGCATTTTACACTATTTGATGTTTTACACACGTGATAAATCATTTAATTGAGAAAATAATTGGCAGACTAATTGAGCATTTAAATAATCGTTACATGCAGCCGTACCCTGACGCGTAGTGTAACTAACCAGGAAAAGTGAGCCAACACAATTAAGGAGCAAAATGCTTTGACGTGTTTAAAAACAACTTTGGATTTATTTCTTGTTATCTGGATAAATCTTGCCATGTCCTAAAAGAGAATGACTACATCTTCCTTTTCTCCAGTAGTGCTAGTCCTTCTCTCTCTCCCCCTCCCATTACATCTTCAGTTGATGTCAACATGTTCGTTAAGGTGAATTTGTTGCATCTTTCCCTTCCACTCCATTTTTCTCAACCATCTCTTGATCATTTCACCAACACGACTCTGATGATGTTCCTCATCTTACCTGCCGCCCTCCTCGTTGGTGTCCAGACATCCGATGAGTTGGATGAGCTGTTGGGAGATGAACTCCTTGGTCATGACCAGCTCCAGCTGGTTAAAGTCAGCCCTCTGTTCCTCTGACAGCACCGGCACTGCCTTCAGATAGCTACAAAAAGTCAGAGTCAACAATAGCTCTCACAGAACAGTCAGATTAAATAATGCATTGTCCTCTCGTACCAGCATCACAGAGGTACAACTGAGAATAAATTACGCAATCATATTACATGCAATACTGCAACACTGTAGGAAGCTAAACACTGACCAACCTACATGGCACAAATACACACAGCCACATCAGCTATCAGTTAGCCACTGAAAGATTCTTACAAAGCTACAATTAATTGATAAATAAGTGTATTTTATGAGCAGATAAATGTTAAGCAAGCCACTCAGTTGCAAATTTACTTACACAATACAGCATTAGATGCATTAGGCAGGTGATAAAACAGCAAAACGCTCCAAAATTTATGCATAGAAAGAAAGATATTTGAGTCCTGGGACTTAAAAGTATGAATGAGTGTGGACGGCAGTCTGTGATTTATGCTTAAAGATTGTGAAGTCAATATGAGATTATTAACAAAACATTTCGAATATATTCAGTATGCAGTAAACGGTTTGGTGAAAGCTAACCTGGGGGTGTAGCCATCAAAAGCAAATCTAGATATATAGGAATAAAATATTAATGGCAGGCTGATGCAACAAACTCAAAAGGTGTTACTGTGTAATAAGAGCAGTCTAGAATTTTGAGTGTAAACAGAAATAGTTTTACATTTTTTGCAGGGAAAGTCTTTTTTATATAAATGCCACACTATAGTGTTGTATAGTGATCAGTTGTCTGGTCCATAAGTTATTCTGCAACGGGGTAAACTATACAGCTGACACCAAGAAAACTATAAATGTAATGCAGTGAAGTCTGTCTCTCCTCTCACCCATAGAGGTAGTCTGCATAAGTGGCAGCGTCTGGTAACACTTGCTCTAGAATTTCGTCACCATCGTCCCCTTTAGTCTTGATGAACTCACACAGAGCTCTCCAGTAAAGCACATTCTCACAGGTCAGAGAGTCCACTGGGATCAGCTTCCTGTTGAAAACACAAATTATTTCCAACCTCAGACATTTTATTGATGACAACGCATGTGTGAGCCAGACAGACAGAGTGACAGAGTGTGAAGGGTACCTGTTGTCGAGCTGAGCTCTGTTCTGCAGCAGTTCTTCAGTGGGTGTGCCTTTGAAGATGGCTTTCAGTGTGTCCAGAGCAGTTTGGGCACAGTTCTCTACATCCAGCCTGTGGAGCAGCTCTATGATGTTACCGTCCAGGCGGAGCAGCCAGGCCGGCAGCAGACGGCAGCAAACCACCTCCCTCACCGCCTCTACAACACACAGACAGTCAGACATATTAACTGGGCACACTGGAATTTAGAGCTGAACGAGCAGTTGATTGACAGAAAGTTTATTAGCAAATATTTTTATAACTGATTCATTGTCACTTTTCAAACACTGGTTCCAGCTTCTCAGATGTGACTTTTTATATCTCTTTCTGTTTTGAAATGCTGCCAGGACAAAGTACCTCATTCAAAGTACAGTACAGTGTTGATGTAATACACACACAGAAATCAACATTACCTGAGGAATCATGGAGACCCTGCTGCAGTATACTAACTCTCTGTGCGATGGTCAAAGCTTTTATATGAACCTTGTCAGCCAGAACCTTGCACAGAAAATTATATTGTTAGTCTTTACGTTTTACAAGAACAAGTGTTAAGTCAGATCAAGACGACAACTTTATGTTGTTTTTACCTGCTGATGTACTTGGCACATGCGCACATATACTTGTAACAGATCATTTGACTACATTTGTGGTTACCTGGTAAGCTAGCTTGCGGACGTTCTCTTTGATGTCCCGGGTGCGTTTGAGTACTTTGGGGAGGGTGCGGGGGGACATTGCAATGCAGGAAAGAACGGCTCGTCGCACCTCAGGATTAGTATCATTTTCCAGAATTAACATGTAGGCTGAACAATGGAAAGAAATTAGACACAAAAACATAAGTTTACTAACATAAACACACCTTTAAACAATGATATCTCAAATGTGGTTATCAAGGAGTTGTTTCAAAGAAATGTACTGGGAGGAGAGTATGTACAGGTGAGTAATGATAAACATATTATTCTAAACAGATGGAAGCATTGTTAGAGAAAAAAAACACAAACCGTTGATAGTTGGACAGTCAGGATCTTTTGGCTGTTGCAGGCGCGTCATGGCCAAAGCAGCCTGAATCCTCACATTGGGGAACTTGTCGGTAACACGGACCAGCATGGCTTGGTGGATGTGATCAAAGAGGTCGTCGTCTATCTGGGCATTCTCTGCCATACTGCCCAGCAACTTGTTGATCAGCTGGCACACACGGAAACGCACCGCATGGCTACTGGCTTTGTGAGACTGCGAAGGAAGGAAAGCAGTCCAAACAGTTTGGGAGAAGAAGTGGGAAAAGAGGAGTGAGACATAGGATAGACAAGGACGGAGGAAGACAAACATTTACGTCACAAAGTTGATCATCATTTAGCACAGATGGAACAAAAAGTGTCATTGTAACTTTTCATGCATACACTCTTGTGATGTTTATACCTCCAACAGGAAGTTGAAGATGAAACTTAGAAATGGATGATCATCCTCATCTTCGTCTTCTTCCTCCTGATTCTCCTCCTGCTGCTGCTGCTCCTCCTCCTCCTCCTCTGTTTTAGGTGGAGACTGGAAACTCGTGGCGAACCTGGCGACAAACTCAATGACGTTTTCGACTGAAGGTTCACGCTTGTAGACAATCATGGCGTACTTCAGGTAGTGGACAAACTCCTCATGGAACAGTGTCTTGTCCTCTAGCTGGTGGAGGATGTCATCAACAACAGGTGACGCAAACCAGAGGAAACAAAGGCTTAGGTTTAAAATAAGACAGTATACACGGGAATATGTAAAATCAAGTCATCAGTTTCTACAATATCAATTTCAGGCCTGTCAGGTGGTCTGGGAAAGGGTTGCTTGCTGTCCCCAGGGTCAAAACAAAAACAAAGAAGCATGGTGCACTTTCTATGTTCCACATATTTGCAATAAAACTCCAGAACACATAAGGTCTGTTGCAACTTTAAAGTTCTTCTGATTTATTTTAAATCGTATTTGTGTCTATTCATATTGCCTTGCGTTTTGTTTTTTACCGTGTCTTAAAGGAAAGCATCTGGAATTGCCCTGTTTAAACTAAACTTGCATTAAGGGAAACTAAACAATGACAATAATTATCACAATATAACAACTGTTCAATAAATATTCAATAAATGTTTGATTGAATTCATTTGAATCACAACCAAATTAACACATTAGCATTTGTCTATCAAGATATTTATTTTGTTCAGGGAAAAGGGACTGAGCAAAATATATTATTTAATTACTCATGCATATTTGTTGAAAATATATATTTGTCATAATTATTTTGAATGTCCTACCTCAGATTTAGTAAGAGATTCAGTGTTTGGCATCAAGCGTTTGTCATGTTCTGACTATAAATAGTTTTAAACCACAATTTATCATCTGGTTTCTTCAACTTTCACTCAGGAGCAAAAATCTGCCTTCAAACTTGACATTTTCCTGATAATTATCGATATTGAATGATATTTATAATTTTTATCGTGATAACATTTTTGGCCATATCGCCCAGCCCTACTTGCATTTTCCTTTTTTTATCATTTCATTCAGTGATTTTATCATAATAAAGATTTGTCCTTCATCCTTTACTAGAACCAACTTAGGGGGAAGGTTAAACAAAATAACAATACTTGTTTCCCCTACCCTTGTGATCAAAACACGGTCCTGGATTTAAACTATGACTATGTGTGGTGTGTCTAATGGCAAGAAATAAGATTCACAGATTCACATACGCAGAGCTTACCTTGCTGTAGCGACTCTTCAGGCTTGCCACCAGCTTCGCCTTGTTATTGTGGCCCTTCTGAGCGCGCTGAAACGCCTCTTTAATGTCTATTTCATTGTCCGAAGTCATCTTTCCTTCACAGAAAACCAATTTAAAAGACAGAATTACTGAAACCGCCGTATAAGCTTTCTATCTTACACTTACAGGAACGTTTTTACTAACAGCTAAATGCTAAGGGCAGCAGCAGCCTGCTAGTTTCTAGTGGAGAAAACCCCACCTCGATACAACTCCCACTGAAAGTAGAGCAGGAAAACAACGTAACCTAGCTATATCGTCCTGGACAAAGTTCCCCTAGAGATACTTTACACTACCATTTATCAGAATATTAAAGCAAACATTGTATTATACTGACAAAATAAACGTATTATAAGTTTTAGAAATTTACCTTTTCTTTACTTTTCTTCTCGCAACAGTGCCGCCTGTTTTCAAATTCAATTATCGTGTTTTGTTCTCGCGAGAACTGAAATGCGTTCTCTTGCTTCCTGTGTTATGACGTACAAATGTCTATTTTTGTGTGCCCCTAGTTTAGCCTGGCAGGCGGCTCTATCGGTGAGGCTCAACAATGGACTATACAAAAGTAGTAAAGCTGAAACATAACAATGAATTGATTAATTCATTTGTCGATCAACAGAAAATAATCTACTATTCTGATAGGTGGTTAATCGCGTTAGTATTTGTAACCAAAAAAATTTCTTAGTAAAGAAAGTAGAGTAATACTTAACCATGATAGAAACTAATGTACGAGAATCAGCTGTTATCAGTCATACAGTCGATGGTTCCATTGTCCTATCACGCACTGCACATGACAACAGAACAATGTCTATGTACATCACCACTACTATCACACTGACATTAATGATATTTTCATCTGCTTTACAAAACTATTAATGTATTCTGATATTTATAAATTGCAATTAACAATAAAACAAACACAAGATTGGAACTTTCTAAAATATTTATGTGGATGTACCATATGTATATGGTCAAATTGAAAAAACTGGCCCATTTTAAACTAGAAAAGACTCAAGAGCAAACCAAAGCTGTACAATTCTCAATTATATTAATAGAAAATATTTTAATTAACATCTACTAGCTCCACATGAAAGTACACACAGACCATTATTTTAACTGAGTACAGTGACAAAACAAAATACTATCTTGCAATGTTGAGAACAACAAGTCACACCTCAAGCGTTGGCTGGTTGTTTACCAGATTTCATCTAAATCTCTGTTTCAGAGATGTTTCTAGATTTCTTACAAACAGACAAATGTGACTGAGTAGACTATGTTTTTGACCAAGGATAACATTAATTGTAGGAGTGATCTGGCTTTTGCTTTCATTAATAAAGATCTTAACCTGAAAACCGTGAACCAAGACTTCTGTGCTGGTTTCACATTTTTTTGTCCTGTGTTAAACCGTTAACCGATAAAGGCCGACTGCCTCATCCATCCATGAGGATCTTTTGGCTGATCTGCAAAGCGGGTCAGGTGCAGTGGACTCCATGAGGGCATATGCTGGGGAAAGTAAAAACATGTTTATAAAATATAACACACCATCACAGTAACCTCTCAGCTGCGATCGTGGTTAAAATGCAGAACTACCGAGAGAAACCTGTAGAAAAAGGAAGATCATGCATTTCACAAGTTGTACATTTGTACAACATATAGGACATTTGTAAGACCACATTTTTCTTGTATTGTGGTGTGTTGTGAAGTGTTGAGGCAACACTGCCACCGTGTGACTAAAAAGTGCCATTGGTTTGTGATTGCACAGAATATCCATGTACAGTAAATATTAGTTTCTCTTAATAAGGTACAAGCTGAAACTACTGCAGTCCAGTAAAACAGCCCTTGATTCCTTGCATCCTTCCTTCTTTCCTTCCTTCATTCCTTGATTCCTCCCTTCTTTTATTCCTTCCTTGCTTGATTCCTTCTGTGATTCCTTGATTCCTTCCTTCTTTCCTTCATCCCTTGAGTCCTTCCTTCCTTAATTCCTCCATTCCTTCCTTTATTCCTTTTCACCTTCCTTCCTTGATTCCCTCATTCTTTTATTCCTTTCTTGATTCCTACCTTCTTTTATTCCTTTCTTGATTCCTACCTTCTTTCATTTCTTTCTTGATTCCTTGCTTGGTTCCTTGATTCTATCCTTCCTTTATTCCTTCCTTGATTTCTTCCTTTATTCCCTCCTTCATTCCTTGATTCTTTTGTTCCTTCCTTCTGTGATTCCTTTCTTGATTCCTTGATTACTTTCTTCCCCCCTTCCTTGATTCCTACCTTGATTTCTTGATAGCTTCCTTCCTTCATTCCTTCCTTCATTCCTAGTTTACTTCCTTCATTCATTCCTTGATAGCTTCCTTCCTTCATTACTTGATTACTACTTTCCTTTATTCGCTCCTCCCCCTCCTTCCTTCCTTGATTCCTTGATAGCTTCCTTCCTTCATTCCTTCCTTCACTGAATCCTAGATTACTTCCTTGATTACTTCCTTCCTTCCTTCCTCCATTCTTTGATTACTTCCTTGATTCCTTCCTTCCTTCCCCGATTCCTTATTTGAATACTTCCTTTCTTCCTACCTTGATTCCTTCCGTCCTTCCTTGATTCCTTCCTTCCTTCCTTATTGATTCCTTCCTTGAGTTTCAGTGCATTGAGCTCTCAGGAGCCCCATACTAATGAGCTAGTTGACAAAAACAAGCAGAGAAGCCACACACTTGCCAATGCTCATTATTGAAAATTGACCATACAGTATATAAGATTTCATCATCAGAATAGCTACAACCTGTGATTGTGCAGGCGCTCTTGTCACTTCTTTGCCTCCAGCTTGGCCAAAGCCATGAGTGCTCCCTTTATAAAACTAATTACTAATCTACAAAACTCAGTACACATTTAGAAATATTACATCATGCACTGAAACACACATGAACACAGGAAGAACATGCAAACTCCACAACGAGAAGAACATGGCTGGATTCAAACCTGCCTCATGAATTGAAATTAATTAACAAATTAAGTAATTATTAGGATGTAATACTCACTCACACAGACATGATGAACACATCATGTTAATTAATTAACGTTTTTACTTTGTCAACTAACGTTAGTTTGCTAGTGTGAATTCATCATTTGAAATATTTCACAGTGCACAATTAACCTTTTCAGCAACGCTGAATCGCTCCTCAGCTTCAGACTTCTGACACCATTTCCTCCGTTGCATCGGTGAAACGCTCGTAATTAAAACGCATGTTGCAGATTGTATAGACGACTGTGGCAGGTGAAAGTGCGGCGCATTTTTTGTCATCTGTCCTCCAACCCAAGACGTCCAACCACTGATTACAAACACTGCACACACACAGCCATTATGAAAATAAACAGCACACTAAACCAAGAGAAAAAAATTAAAATGAAGACCCTCTGTTAGCTAACTTACTGCAATAACTAGGCTAGCTAACTTAACTAGAAAGACAAACCCACCATAAGACAGACAGACACACATACACAAAGAGATATACCTAAGTACTAAGTAAAATTTATGATAAATTGGTTAGGTAGCTCACAACGATGTTTATCGGTTTGATGCTCTGACTTAAGCAGACGTGACAGTTTTTTTAACGAGACGTGACAGTCTCACAAGCCTGGAGAGGGACTTATGACTTATGGAATCACTATAGTCTTATGTCACCACCCTGTTTTAGCAACTAGGCAACTTTGAGCACAAAATAAAGCTATTTGACAAACTCTGTGGGTAGTCAATATTGTAAGGAAATGACTCAGAAAAATATGAAATATCATAGAATATGAAAGATGTCAAAATACACAGGAGGTTTGCCTATGAGGAAGGATTCTGGGGTGAAACAGTCCCTGGTCTATGTGAAGGCACTCAGACTACAGACTGTGTGAGACCACATATTAACATTTAGTTTGCAACACTCACATTGAATATACTGGGCTTGGTGGGATTTTTGTGGTTTGTCATTTAAAAACAAGAACCAGGTGATCATGTGGATTGATGAAAGAAATGAGCAGTCATCAACCTGTCTTCTTTTATACAGTCTGTGGTGCAACCCCTCTGTTTCTGTTGTGATGTCCAAGGCGGCAGCTGCCCGGCAGCTGTGGAGGGGTCACGGCAGACAGCTCGTCCGTGGGAAGAGCAGGAATAAACTTCTCCACAGGAGGACGGTACCCCTCATTTATGGCAACAACAACAGCCAACTATCTCTGGAAATCAATTTAATATACAGGGTACTCTGTCAGGCTTCTGCTTAAGACCTGTGTGCATGTGGGCGTAGGATTATCTGAGAGGTGTATTATCATATTAAATATTTATGCTGGTGGATGCAGGGGATAAAAGTTCCCATTAGTCCATACACCTGCTATTTCATCAGCCAAAAAGATGTGGAAAAAACGTCCTGGTAGTGCTTCTGTAAATCTACGGGCACATGCAATGATCTTAAGACATCCAAATGCTTTCCAGAGAGATACAGCCCAGTGTAAAACTTCCTACACATTCAATCATCAAACTACCATTTCTCATTACCTTGTGCTCATTTAGAAAGCACAGTCCAATACCAAGGTTGGATTACAATCTGGGCAAAGCAGACAAATGTCCCAGGGGCCCTCGAACTTGCAAGATCACTATGTGCCAATTGGTTTGTGATCATTTGATTAATTGCACATTTATTTGGACACATGCCCCAATTAAGAAAACACACTAAGGCTGATTCTGCATTGTTATCTAATCCTGTGGCCTCAGAATGCTTCACACAAAGTAGGTCATAAAATGTGCCATCAGACCACGTCTAAAGACAAAACTGTTATAGCTGTTCCAAGTGGCCACACTCAAAGGGTGAATAAGCCTGCCATCCTGCCTCCTCCTGGCTGCATCCCTCTGCCTCCCCAATCTTTCTCCAAGAGTAGTCTCAAATGCAATGAATCGTACAAATGGGTATCACAGCACACACTTTCGGACAGTCTCTCCTCCAAGGCATTCATGGTCTTGTACTCGGTTGAATATATGAAAACTGATGGAAGAATAAAGAAAAAAAAAGAGAGCTAGAGAGAAGTTCAAATCCTGCCTAGTTTTAATATCTCCTCACAGCGTACTTGACTGTGTGCTGAGTTTCAGAAATCTTTGGACACAATAAATAAAGTTGTGTTTTGATGAAATTACCCTAAACTAATTTACATCTGGGCCCAGACGTTATAGCACAGAAGTGCTGGGTCTCTAGTATTCCCTGCTGTGTACTTACTTGGACGAGAAAGGGCACACAATACACAACACATGGTTGGTGGTTAATGGAGTTATAGGGACCCAGCAGCTAATATCTTCCCGAGTGGCCTCCTAACAGGTTAATTTGATCCTATGTGTGTGACATATTTAAAGCGGCACTTTTTTACACACCATGAGGAGTAATATTCAGCTGGTGAAAATAGTAGGTCGTCTTTGGCTCTGGAGGATC